ACAGGACAAGCCAATCAAACTGACTGCAGCAGTATAAGCAGTGAATAAAGTCACCTTGAGAGCCATCAGCAGTGTCGCTCTGGCCAAGGGTCTGTCACACTTCCTGCTATGGTTTGGTTGCCATCTGTGCCAAAGCATTTTGAATCCACACAAATAGATTACAGAATGACTTGGGTTGGAAGGGACAATGGCAGGATCAGCACAAGACAAGTTTTTGAGTTAAGCAAGTTTAGGCACTCAGCCATGGGATTTATTAACCTCTCAATCAAGCCTGGCACCTTGTGAGGCAGGGAAAACCAGAGCCTGTTCAGAGCAGTTGGTTGCTCAGGGGGGAGATAATCTGGGGCAGCATTTTGAGCAGCTGATGCCACATCCACCACTCGCTTGGACATGCTCATGAACACCCAAGTGCTCAAGTTGGCATCCCTTAGGAAGGAACCACTTGCCATGACCAGACAGCAGCAGTGGCCACTGTGCTCTGGGAGAGGAGTAAACAGGAGCAAGACAGGGGCCTGCTTAAGCACTACCCCTAAATCCACACTGCTTCCAAAAAAAGGGGCCTGGAAACCAAATCTTTCTTTCCAATGGCTAACAGAAGCTCTGTCCAGAAACTTGCTTTGACCTCAGCTCTCAGGAGCATTTTTGGATAGTGCATTTTCCCTCCCTTGCAGTTCTTCTCTAGCACTAAGTGTCACTTGGAAGAGCTTGCAATGTAGACCCTGAGCAACACTAAACTCACCACACAAGGTAGTTGGTGCATTCTCTACATGAAGGCACAAGGAGGGGGAAGAATTTACCCTCATTTTCAGCAGCTAAACCATCAGCAGGGGCAGAGCAGAACACCTGCCCTCGGTACAAAGGTGAACAAGACTATTCCAGCTCTTCCTAAGAAATAATCACTTCAGTATCCTTGCAGCTACTCTTGTTCTGCTTTACTCACTTCAAACAGCTCACATCCTTGAGGCAGGGAACTGCAAGTTCATAACAAACTGCTGCATGGCTTTCTGGGCAGGAAAAAAACCAAGCAAAATCCAAAAGGCTGTGGAGCAACTGAAGGTGAGCAGGATGGTCTGGGTGCAAGCAGGTGGCATTCCCAATGCAAGCAGCAAAGCTACTGGAAGCAGGTTGAAGCTCTGGAGAGCTGAGACTGCCCTGGAAGAGCTGAATCTCTCTGCCTCCACCTCTAGGACTTGGAACAGGCTAATAGACTGCATCCTCCTTCTTTTTAAACTAACTAATGAAATAAAAACAGGTTGGTGAGAGAAGCAAGTTCTTTTCTACTACAGCCACCTAAGATCTGGGAGCTTAAAAAAGATACTCCAGAGACATCAAACACAGAGTGCAGGAGGCTGATGACTAAGGCAGGTACACACATAGCAGATGCAGCATTTTAAAGGCTTAGGACTCTGTACCTCCTTTGTGACCTTTAAATGTGACCACACAGCTGGCATCTTCTGCTGACCAAATCTTTAGCTGAGCATCCATTCCCCCACTCAGCACCACGAGGCCCGAAGGGAAAAACCTGCAACAATTCACATCATACACATGGCCTTCCAATAGTCTCTGGAAAAACAAAGAACTACATGCTAGTTCCATTGTTAACACCCTCATGCCAAGCAGTTTGTGAGCTATGACACTGGAAAATTTGATGTTCTCACATGGGCAGAGGATTAAGCTCAAATCCTCTGGGTTTGTGTTGTTAGAAGTCCAAATCTGAGGTGACACTCTGGGCCTCCCTCTACTACTTAAGTAGCTAATTGCAAAGCAAAGGATACTACATTTGCTTCTAATTACAAGTTAAATTTATCCCTGCTAAACAAGCAGCTGATAGGTCAAGCTCCACAAGAAATAAATTAACTGGGAAGGCAGCTAGCTAGGATGTGGTTAATCTGATCATTTTCCCTCCCTTCTGTATTCACAAATTCAGTGCTTGTACCATGCAGGTTAGGGGCTATCAGTGACATGCTGCACTCCTAAGTGAAATTCCTAAGTACCCATTCCCATTTTCACCCTGAGACTCCTCTCGGATTGCTAAGAAACATTCCCCTTGGGAGAAGTCATCCTTTCCAACAGGTTTGACTTAAAAAAACCTCCAAGGTGGCAAATTCCAATAAGCTTTTCATTCAAAAGGTAGATTGCTGCCGGCCCTAGACCATAGGGTGTGGACAGCCTGACCCAAGTCAAGGCCAAAGGAGTTTGGGAATGTCACAGACAACAAAAAACATCAAAGCTAGATGCTCTTACTCTTATTTCCCCATTTGCAGCCTGCCAGATTTTCATGGTCCCATCTGTGCTAGTAGACACACCAAGTCCTCCACCACTGGAAATATCAAGACAGGTAATCTGCAGGAGGGTAAAAGCACCAAAAATTAGCTTTGTATTACCTTGAATGCACGTATTTTGGCTCAAAAGCTTAACTCTGTACCGGGGGAGATGTGCTAAGTACATCATTCAACACTGTTATCTCCCCAAGACATACTGTTGGACACATTTAAAATACCCAAAAGAGCTTTCACATTCCTAGCTGAAAGAGCTCCCATAGTCCTAGTCTGATAGTACATTTAAGCAAGCACTTCATAGGCTTTCACACCTCACCCTTGATATGTTTTATGAGATATTAAGCCCTTAAGAAATCAAAAACCAAGTGGATCCTGAAAAGCAGAGTTTTTCTCCAGCAGGTTTTTTTTTTCAAGTGCATAAAAAGAAATTCTCCTCAATTAATCTGTTTACACAGATTGCTGAATTCCTCCTCCCAGAGGAGGTGCTGATCCAGACTGACCCACAGCCAGGGCTCAGACAAGTTGGGTGACTGGAACCTGGCATGAAGCACCCCAGATTTCTTGTGATGGCCACTGAATTTGCCTGACAAACTGCTATTGCCTGCCTGTGACTCTGCAGAGATCTGCAAGGCAGGGAGAAAAAGAACTGCTGAGTCAGAAGCCTGCACAAGCAGCACTTGTATTTCAGGTTTACCCCAGGTGAAGCAGAAATCTGGATTTTTCCAGCAGCTCCTGTACGCAGATTAAAAAAAAAATCTGAAAAAAGCTGAAGGTAACTGACCATGAGACAACGTTACATTTATGAAGCCAAAGGCACAACCTAAATTTGCTGAAACACCAAACCAAAACCAGTTCCTCAAACAGACAGGCTGACTCCTCACAGAGATATTGAGAACCACCTGCTTGGCATAAACACTGGGAGAGCTCAATCCTTTTGAAGACAGCCGATGCTGATCTTACAATCTTCCAAAAGCAGCTTTTTCCATGATGCCAGACACTATTGCTGCCATTTGGGAAATGCAGATGTGTTTCAGTAATGCATGGAATAAAGTAACAGGTATTCTAGCTTTGCAAATAAGATTACATCTTCTTCGTGACAAAGACATTTCCAATATAGACTGCAGCAACACTGAACAGGCTGAAAAAAGCCCCAACTACATAGATTTTGTTAGAGCAAAGGTTAACACTAGTGTGTATGCTGAAAAAAAAAGCCACCAATAAAACTATCACAAGTGTGTAGTGGAATAGTTGCCTTGCCTTACAATATTTGGATACTGAAGTCATGCTGTATAACCCAAAAATCCGATCTGCAGAGGGATCTGGATTGTCTGGATCCATGGGCCAATGCCAATGGTATGAGGTTCAACAAGGCCTCTCTTCTACACTTTGTTATTAGCATTGTTGTTGTCGCTACTCTTTGTTTTCTCATTTCATTGCTGTTTCTAGTAAATTGTTCTTATTTCAACCTGTGAACTTCACCTCCTGTGGCCCCAATTCTCTTTTCCATCCCGGGGCGTAGGGTGGGGGAGTGAGCAGGACGTGGTTTGGGGAGTTTCAGTGGGAACACTACATTGAGGAATACCATTCCAAAGCCACCACAAGATCAGCTCTATCTCTGTTCCAACCCCTTACCAATAAGCACAGAATTCTGGTCTGAACTTCCACAGTTCCCACCACCTGACCAAGTGTATAAGGGATGAGGCTGTTCATCTTCATCTCAGGCTTCAGATTCACGGTTTTCCTGAACAATTACCTGCTTTCAAATAGGACTGTGCTTTGTCAATCCCCCTGCAAGTGATCAGCCTTGGCTAGCATCCAGCCTGAAGAGACAGTTGGATTTACTTCATTTTAAGGGAATCCCAGACGAAAGCAGAGGGGGAGACTTGGCCAAGAAAGATGACAGCTAGAGGCTAAGATTTAAGGATGTTGCCCTCAAGGAGACCAAGAAATGGCTTTGAACTGCCAGAGGGCAGGGTTAGATGGGATACAGGGAAGGAGTTCTTGGCTGTGAGGCTGATGAGGCACTGGCACAGGTCACCCAGAGAAGGTATGGATGCCCCAGCCCTGGAAGGGGAAAAGTCCCTCTCCATACCTCTTATAGGCTCCCCTCAGGCACCGGAAGGAGAAAATCAGGGAGAAGCTAACGTAATTGATTTATTTTTTAAAGACAAGTCGGGTCTTTCTGCTCTCTGAATTCCCCTCAGGTCAAGATGAATTTATGCAACATCTCAGTGCCTGGAATCTCTTACTTTTACCTTGTGTTTTGACACACTCATTCACACATTTTACGGGGATCGGTCACAGGCCTGAAGTGAGCAGAAATTATATCACTTGCAAGAAAACACAAGTAGTTTTGGACATTATTTTTGTGAAGCAATCTTAACTATAACCAAGTTTCCCAAGCTTGCTTACTGTGATATGCTTTATCACTTAGTCCATGCACAAAGCCCCACTCCAGGCCACCTCTCAGCACAAGGACACCACACTCACACATGTCTTGTGAAAGTCCACAGTGACTTCCAAGCATTCCCCACCCAATACCCAAGGCTACTCACACTTTTCTGATGAATCCTACTGAAAGTTGTGTACGGGGCCAGGAACTTTGTGGACACATTTTCATGAGGACAAGAGATGAGAATGCTTTTCTGGAGGAGGAAAGAGAAGGAAAACCAGGAGTTAGGAAGTGCTATTAGTCCTACTGAAACAGAGGCAGAACTATGATCTGGACTCAGCTGTGGTGTCTCAGCACCTAAAAACTGATGGAAACTCAGTGTTGGGCCCATCTGATGAGGATGCAGGTGGCAAAGGATGGCTGCAGTAACCTGGGCACACAGCTCCATCCCTGTGGGATTCTATGGAGCAGCTCCGGGTCTCTGCACAGGCAGGAGACTCCAGACAACTAGGCAGGACACAGGCAAGACCTGGATATGACTGGGTAACAGCTTCAAGCTGCTCTTTGTACAAGTGTCACCCCTTTGTGCCCCTCCAGCCCAGCCCTGGCACCTTGGTGACCTCCCCGACCAGGAAGCCCTCGGAGGCAGCGATGTCAGGGACGCCCTGGGAGCTGAGGCCGCGCCGGGTCACACTGCCATACAGGGTGGGCTTCCCTGTGGGGAGAGTAGCTGTCAACCAGGGCACACTCAGCTCACCCCCTCCCAGCCCACACGGCCCCCAAACCCTCCTAACACATAGGGATCCCCAACCACACTGACCCCCTCCCAACCCAGAGAATCTTCCAGTTGCCCTAATCTCCTCCTAACTCAAAGGTTCCCCAATTGCCCTCATGCCCTCTTAGTTCAAAGGTACGTGAATTGTCCCTATCCCCTCCT